CTCACCTTCCCATTCTTCCCCCTCATTTTCCCATCCCTCCCCCTCACGTTCCCAGTCCGCCCTCCTCATCCTCCCAGCCCTCTCTGCCACCTCCCCACCCTCTTTTTCTCTAATATTTGTACAATCCTCTTAGTTATCCTGGATAATTCTGTTAGCTATGAAATATGAGCCTCCACACAGGTTTCTTCACATCAGTACGGAGGTGAATTCTGGTTACTTGGATATATTCATCTCAGGTGTCAATAATTTGGAGTCCAAAGTTGTTTCTTTCTGCTTGAATTTACCATCCTTCCTTGAGATATGTGACCTGGGTTTGTAATTCTCCAAGTAACGACAGCAGTCAGATTTTCATGAGCGTATTGGCTGTTTGTTCTCATCATCCCTGAAGAACAGGGACAACTTCCTTCAAGTTCTGACTGTGAGAAGAGATGGAGTGCGTGTTTAATTCAGTTTAGTTGACCTCTCTTTTCTTCCAGTTTCACAGATGGTTATCGAAGAAGTAAATGCTCTGCACACACAGCTGGAGATTGAGAAATCTTGCCGGGAGAATGCTGAAGTCTTGGCCACAAAGGTAGCAATAAGTGCAACTTTAAAATGTTGACTGTATCTTTGGGGGTCAGATGGCCAGATAGCAAAGTGCAAACTGTTTTATCTTATGCTTTAAGCCAATTCTGCTCCTTGCACCTTGAGATACCAGTCTGGAGTATTTCTGATGTGGGGGTGCCAGTGTCAGACTGGGGTGGTGTCACGCAACACCAGGTTATGGTCTTCACCTGACGAAGGAGCAATGCTCCGAAAGCTCGTGATTTCAAATAAACCTGGACTATAACCTGGTGTCGTGTGACTTTGGAGTAATTCTGGGCTGTGTCTGCACATGGCACCTGATGATGCCTGCTCCTTCTTTGTGTGTAAGGCTCTTCAACATCTTCTGCACTGTAACACTCCCACATTTACATCCATACACAGCAGGTTATCAAAAATAACACCCTAGCGCAGTGACTATAGACCTCTCTCTTCACATGCTCATTCCCAATTGGTGTCTTCTCTCTTACTGATGTCTGAGTCTTGTGATCAGTTACAGCCTCACGATTTCCATCAGTCTCATTCTACCACACAGAAAATATTCACACAGCTCCAATACGATCGAGAGTCAAGCGTTACCTAGCACTTGGATCTATGAGGCACATTGGGATAATGTGGAGTGTTCTTCTGATAACCAAAAAACAAGCGCTGGGCTGTTTATTTTCTATTCATTCACGGGATGTGGATATCACTGGCTAGGCAGCATTTATTGCCCATTCCTAATTGCCCAGAGGGCAGGTAAGAGTCAACCACATTGCTGTGGGTCTGGAGTCACATGCAGGCCAGACCAGGTAAGGATAGCAGTTTCCTTCTCTAAAGGACATTAGTGAATCAGACCGGTTTTCCCAACAATGGCAATGATTTCATGGTCATCGTTAGACTCTTAATTCCAGACTTTTGTTATTGAATTCAAATTCCATCATCTGTCATGGCAGGATTTGAACCCAAGTCTCCAAGACATTACCTAGGTACCACACCTTTTAAATGAGCTTGAATTCTCACAGTTGAATAATTAATGTCTACTCTGCCCAACTTTGGTCTTTTAGTTTCAATGGAGTGCACTTCGAGACTTGAACAGTCAGCTCTTTTCTCTTTGCTAAGGAAAATGAAGCTGTTGACAAAGTCATTGTTAATTTATAGCCAATTTCACCAGAATGCCACCAAAAATTACCATGCAAGATTTGGGCAGCCTTCGTGTGCTGTGAACTGGACACGAGTAAAAATGATCTCCACACTGTGCATTAACTTTATCAATCTCACATTCACCATGTGGGAGATGGGATAGACAAGACTGTCCTTAATGTCTGGTAGAAATGCATGAATTAATGTAAGGTGACTTATCACTTTTCATGCTGTTCAAGGCTATGTCGTTTTTCAAAACTTTCATCCAAGGATTGGTTGAATCTTTTACAGCTCAGTCATGAGAACAAGAAGCTGAAGTACCTGAGTCTAACATCCCGGGTTTGCATGGATGACTTGCTCCCCAGTATTTCAGATTGTGGGGCCGCAGAGGAGGAGCCACAGGACACCAGCCCCGATCCCTGCCTTCAGTATCAGCAACAGGTCAAAGGTGAACCTCAATGTGCCCCAGTGGTTTACAAAAAGTGAACTTTCATCTACAACCTGTGAACCCCAACTACAGGCTCCCCATGCTCTTCAATGTCAGGATCTACAACAACATTGCATCATTGCAATTCAATAGCCATCACACAGTGTATAGCAAAGTAAGGAAAAATATTCACTTTACCGAACACAGTCAGAAACATTCAAACTAGCAGAGTAAGTCTTAGAGTCATTGTCATAGAGCTATACAGTACGGGAACTGACCCTTTGGTCCAGCCAGTCCATGCCAACCATACACCCAAACTAAACTAATCCCACCTGCCTGTGCTTGGTCCATATCCCTCCAAACATTTTTTATACATGGATTTATCCAAATGACTTTTAAACGTTGTGACTGTACCCGCATTCACCACTTCCTCTGGAAGTTTGTTCCACACATGAACCACTCTACGTATAAAAAAGTTGCCCCTCATGTCTTTTTTAACTCTTTCTCCTCTCACCTTAAAGATATGCCCCCTAGTCTTAAAATCTCCCACCCTAGGGAAGAGACAACTGCCACTCACCTTATCCATGCCCTTCATGATTTTATAAACCTCTATAAGATCAGCCTTCAGCCTCCTACGCTCCAGTGAATAAAGACCCAGCCTGTCCAGCCTCTCCCTATAATTCAAACCTTCCATTCCTGGCAATATTCTGGTAAATCTCTTCTGAACCCTCTCCAACTTAATAGTATCTCAATAATGAGAACTGATCCTGTTAGTTAAAGTATCACCTGTGTTGAAACCAGGTGTCAACCATCTTGTAAAAGCACAGCAGGGAAAATAAGATTCCATTTTCTAGTAATCCTATAGCGCACACATTACATGTTTGAGGTGTTAGTGTTAGAACGTTACATTGAGGGCAAGAAGTGCAACAAAGACAGTTACAACTGAGATCCTCAATCTGTGTAGAGTCCACTTTACATTATAAGGTGCAGAGGAGTCTGCACAGCACAAATGAAAAAGTGCCCTAAAACACTAATGGTGGAATTGTGCCTGGATGTCTTGATGGATTTGTTGGCATTCAGGGAGGAACCACAAAAATCCTTGCTGCTTGCATTAGAGATTGTTCTGCTCAAAGATGATCTTTTGTTTATCGGGTCCTCCTGTGACTACATAAAGGGTGTCCAAATGGGTCGATTGGGAAACTTGTGGTGGGCACGTGAAGGGGAGGTTTGCTTGTCTCTGACTCCTCCATATATCCACAGATCTGCAGGAGACAGTAACACAGCTTCTGGAGGAGAAGAAACAGCTTGCGGGTCAAGTGCAGGAATTGCAGAGCAGCATTGAGGAATTAACCACCAGAGTAAGTGTTTTCTATTGACTTGACAGTGTGTGAGAGGACCTTTAGCACCCTGTAAATCTACAGCCATGATAATCAGAGAGGTTCTTGTGTCCCCCATTAGTCTCAATGGTGGGTAAACACACTCCCAAGTTTAGACAAAGCCAGCAACTAAAGAACTAAGGTCAGTAGGGTTGTATCGTTGAATGAATTGAAGTTGGCAATCTATACATTGCACATGCATTGATGACCTGCCAATTAGCCTCTGTCAGAAGTCATGTGACACCAGGTTATAGTCCAACAGGTATATTTGAAATCACAAGCTTTTGGAGCAGCAAAACCTGATGGACTACAACCTGGTGTTGTGTGATTCTGACTTTGTGCATCCCAATCCAACGCCGGCACCTCCACGATGAGACTCTGAGCTGTCACTGCTCTGCTTAGCTGTACTCCTTGGCTTACAGGTTTAGGGTCCTGATAGTCTCTTTCTAGAAAGACGGCAGTGAACAGTGATCATTGTAAGGAGTATCAATCAGATAGATCCCTTACTGTAACTCATTACCAAAGAACTGGCTGGAGATTCATTATCCATATTTGACATTTATTTGATGCCTTAAATCTGGCCTGCTCAGGCTGTGTTATTTTAACCAATCTATTAAAAGCTTGCAACTACACAAACAAAACCTCTTTTGAGATGCTGTGCACTTTGAGTGAATGAGTTAACCTCTCCCAGTTAAAGTCATCAAAAATATCAGGCCAGCAAACTTGTGAACTTTCATAGTGTGGCTATGATAAGGTGATTAACAGCATCTAAGAACTTTTTTTAAAACCCTGAGAAGCTAGAATAGAAGTTATCAACTAACAGAATTAAAAACACTCATGTTAATAGAAGCATTTTAAGTACGTCACAATAACTCAGCATTAGCTGGGTGCTATGTAATAACAAAATTTTGTTTCACTTAATATCCAGAATATGCAGCAGGTGAGCAAGGCTCATTGATGCTTAGACTCCATAAAGGTGACTTTCAACTACAATGGGGCAGGAAACATGGGGTAGCCAGCTGGATACTTGTGTTCATGGAAAGGAAAATGACGCCATGTATCTAATGGATGAATGGGGACTTCTGTGGAGCAGTGGTTATGTCCCTACCTCAGCAATACCTTTATGTCTACCTTTGATGAAAATCTCTTAGTCTGGCCATTCCCCTGGAATGTCCTTCAACTCTGCGCCTCAAGACCAATAGATCCCAACAAATCAGTCGCTGTAGGAATGTTGTGGTGAATGGAGAGACAAAGAGGGAACAGTTGGGTAGTGAGTTTCAATTCATTATCACTTGCTGCATAGAAAAAGCTCTTTCTCATATCTCCCCCGAATCTCTTGCCCACAATTTCAAACCTGTGCTCATAGTCATTGTACCATCAGTTAATCATAGAATCCTCATAGTGTGGAAGCAGGCCTTTCAGCCCATCAAGGCCAGTTCGATCCTTCAAATAGCATCCCACCCCGATCCACTCTCCTACCCTACCCTTAAAACCCTGCATTTCCCATGGCTCACCCACCTAGTCTGCACGTTCCTGGATACCAAGGGCAATTTAACATGGCCTTTAGCAATTTATTAGCTACACATGGGAGTTCCATATTCACAGTGATGGAAATGTAAAGTAATAGAGCAACCCATGTTAGACATTTTTAAGCAACCTGTTCAGACAGGTTCTGACACACCCCTGGAACATGGCCTTGTAGTTCTGAGGTAGGGACATAACCGCTTCTCCACAAAGGTCCTCATTCACCCATTAGATACATGGTTTAACCATTCATTGCCAGATCTGGCCAGACCACATTAAGCAATTTTGGATGCTACTATCATCAGCCACTACTGCTCACTATCCTAAGATCATCCAGGAATGTAAATGTAAACACCAGCCTCTTTCCTGTGTTACACACCATATTCTTAAACCCTGTCTCCTCTCGACTTCATTTGGATCAAGACCTATCACACTTTAATGATGCAAAACCCCCTGAGATGGGTTGACTCAGAACTAATGTTGTTATGTCTTCGGTTTGTCCTTTCAGCTGGAAAGGGAGCAAGCTGAGATGACAGAACTTCAAAACTTGCTGGAGAAACAAGCAAAAACAATCAAAAATTTCAACAGGGGTGAGTTCAAACATACCTGTTGTTATTCTGTAGAATAAGCGTAATTTTCACAGGAACTCATTTAAACACCAATATATAACTCATGTCCATTTTTCCTGATATAAGTGATCTGGTTCTCTTGATTAGATTCTTCTAGGAATGATAACTCAATTTACAGTCAATGGACAGTTACTTTAATAATGACTCGTTTCAGGATATGAAAAGAAACATATTTCACAAATATAAATAGGATGATCCTTTTCAGAAGCAATGGAAATTAGCTTTTCCTGGGTTGAAGTAAAGTCCTTTCATTGAGAAAGGAATTTAGTTGATTTCCTGAGAACCTCATTGTTGATGAAATTCAAAGTTATGTATAAGGATCAACACTGTACACAGAATGCTCTGTCTCATACAGTCATTTCTGGTGCAGAAAGAGGCCATTTAGCCCATTGAGTCTATGCTACCTCCTCAGAGAGTATTCCAGTCCATTTCACTCTGCTAAGTTTATTTCCTTGAAGCATCCATCTAATTCCCTTTGGCAATCATTGATTGTACCATCCTAATGGGGAGCAAGTTTCAATTCATTATCACTTGCTGCATAAAAAAAAAATTCTTTCTCATATCTCCCCCGAATCTCTTGCCCACAATTTCAAACCTGTGCTCATAGTCATTGTACTGTCAGTGAATCATAGAATCCTCATAGTGTGGAAGCAGGCCTTTCAGCCCATCAAGGCCAGTTCGATCCTCCAAACAGCATCCCACCCAGATCCACTCCCCTACCCTACCCCTATAACTCTGCATTTCCCATGGGTAACCCACCTAGCCTGCATGTTCCTGGATACCATGGGCAATTTAGCATGGCCAGAGGGAAGGGTGTTTTTCTCTGCCTACTTTATCAAACCATGTCAAACTCTTAAACATTCCCATCAAATCTCCCCTCATTCTCCTTCAGTCCAAGGAAAAATTACAGCCCTTTCATCCCAACCATGTTGCTAAGATTCTCCATCCCTGGACGCATTCAAGTAAATTCCCTGTGTGAACTCAAGGACTTTCTCAAATGAGCAGAACTGGATGCAGTCCTGTAGTTGGCACCAATATTGCTTTACAAAGGTTAAACCTAACTCCTCTGCTTCTTATACTTTATGCATTTATTTATGAATCTTTTCTGGGCAGATCACTAAAGACAGGGAGCCAGGGGATGGTTGGCTGAGCATATCTCCCACATGATTTTAAAAGTGTAACGTACTGCAAATCTGTACAAGTTCAAAGCCAATGTCTGACCATAGTAGGTGGAACAAAAACGATGCAGTGGGGAAAATAAAAAGTGCTATTAAATGAACAGCACAGAATGCTACAAGCAAACTATTAAAACCAATAATTATAAACCATACGTAGAGTCATAGAGTCATAGAGTGCAGAAACAGACCCTTCGGTCCAACCAGTCCATGCTGACCATAATCCCAAACTAAACTAGTCCCACCTGCCTGCTCCTGGCCCATATCCCTCCCAACCTTTCCTATCCATGTACTTATCTAAATGTCTTTTAAACGTTGTAATTGTGCCCACATCCACCACTTCCTCAGGAAGTTCGTTTCACACACGAACCACCCCCTGTGTAAACCTTTAGCCCCTCATGTCTTTTTTAAATCTCTCTCCTCACACTCTGTCTTAACATCCCAAATCCTAGGGAAAAGACACTTACCATTCACCCTATCTATACCCCTCATGATTTTATAAGCCTCCATAAGTTTACCTCTCAACGTCCTATGCTCCAGAGAAAAACATCCAAGCCTATCCAGCCTTTCTTTATAACTCAAACCTTCCATACGCATGGTTAACCTCCACTGTTGACTTGCCACATGTCCCCTAATAATATTTGTCTTGTAAGTTTGATACTTAATGGCCATGTGGAAAACTCTTGAAATTACTGTAATTATCCAGAACGATCCATTAGTTCTCCCACCTGGATTTTTACTGGGAAGGCTTTCATGATCAAACGATAAATGTGGACTTGAGATTTTATTTTTCCGTTGTATTCTGCATTCTATTAAGCTAATTGAAAATAAATCAAGAAAAGCTTAGTTTCCTGGACAACAGGCAGTGGAACGTTGTTGGAAGCTCTCAGAGGTGCAATGTTCTCCCAAGTAGGGACAGAGCTAATTAACAATTTATTGACCATTAGATCGCTGCAGAGTGAGCTGGCACAATGCAGGAGAAGTTGCCCCAGCCTTTCAACTAGGTGCCAAGATCACAACCTCTAGGTCACATCCTGGTATCCGTGTCAATGTGAACGGGTGTGCATTGCAAAGAGGGGGATCGGAAGTCGTTTTAGCTTATAAATGAACACGAATATTTGCAAACTCCAACTACTAAACTGATTAAAATGCATTCTGTATTCTTTACTTCAAGTACCTGGGGCAATATTATCCTCCGAATGGGCGTTGAGGTTAAATGTGGAAGGTTATTTAATTTATTTACTAGCCAGCAATAAAATGGGGAGAAAATTATAAATTGCAGTCATAAAGTTGCTCTGGTAAATGCAAGCTCAGATTGTGCCATTATTGCACTAATTAATTGTCCAAGCAAAACAGTTCGCTGTGATATAACAGTGGACTATACTTCAAAAGTATTTCATTGTGCTTAGAGATGTCCTGAGGTTATGCTGCTTCATGAATGTAAGATTTTGTTCCTTTCTTTAATTGCTTCTATTGGTGCAGTTATAATAACTGCCATGATAACCCTGAATATTTTATTCAAGACAGTGGAAAATGACACATTAATTGCAACAAAATAGCATCAAAAATTTGTTGAAATTATTTTAGATTCAATCAAAATTCTCCAATACCTTTGATGCACGGTGCAAAAGTTTTCAGCCAGGAGAAGAATTTTCACAGATCACGCTTGCAGGATGCAGCACAGAGTGGAACGGCATTTGGGAGGAGCGTGTACAATGTTATAAGTTTAACACTACTGTTGGGATTTGGTCTGTAAGGATTTTCTGCCTGTTCCTTGTCATTCCTCTGCCACAATTCTTTCCCATTCCCTGTCTTACACTTTGATTTCTGTTAGAAGTCTACTGTTAGAAGGACAAGAAGTCAATAACCTGTCTGTGCAATGTTTTCTGGCCCAGTTTCTGTGATGGCAACCCAAGAATATGAGGAGCTGAGACAACAGCTAGACCTGGAACAGAGCCTAAGGCAGAAGGCTGAGTTGTTTGCTCATGAGGTATGTGTATAAGTGCAAGGCAGAAAGAGGTCTGCATCTAGCGAGGGCTGAATTACTTTATTTTAGACATTGCTTGTGTTATTCTTCCATGAAATATGCTTGCCTGAACCAATTTAAACATGAAACATTTATCACAAAGAGAATGTTGATGCTGCTCGTTCTCCAGATTAAATCACCAATATATCACCAAATTAATGTGGGCTTACTGACCCTTTCAGGCTGGTGATGGAGAATGTAGTCAATTCCATTTTAACACATAATTATAACAATGATTACAACACATACTTGAATGGTTACTGCAACATATTTTTGAATATAGTGTCTGTAACTATTTGAGGGTGCAAAAGAACATTGATATTATTTAAAACACACACACACACACCCATGTGCCTTAATGCAACAAAGGAGAGAGATGTATGACTTTTTAGACCACATTGCCTCATACAGATGTATTAATAGTGAGATGGAGAGATAACAGTGCTTTTATTTACAGTAAATTCTTCCCTCTGCACAGACATACACACTAGCAGTGGCTACAAGGAGATGAGTGACACAGTTGTGACAGTGCTGTCACTTTAAAAGGTTATTTTGCCCTGGTATATTTTTGAAGATTCCGAACTGAATTCTGAAGATGACTTAAGTAAACAACTTGTGAGGCCTTGGGGTGGTTTTTTTTTTTGAAAAGCTTTCTAGTTTTTTTTAAGCTTTGGCTGCAGAAGTTGTTTGGGGTCTCAAAAGAGTCGGAAGCTTCAGTGAATGCCTCTTGGCTGCTACACTTTCAGAATTTCCTCTTGATGTTTTTTCCTCCTGGATTGGAGAACTGCATGTGAGAATCTGTGTTTGAATTTGTCTTTTTGCCAAGGGGTGCGTTTGTGGGATGTCACTGTATTGGAACAATTAGTTAGTAATAGATACTGTATCTATCATTTGTTTAAGTTTTGCAATAGTTAAGTTATTCTAAAATTCTATTTCTTTTGTTTGTATTTTAACTGTAGTGTTTGAATAAATTGTGTTTTGCTTAACATTAAGTAGTTTTGACCAGTTGCCTGGCATCTGGAACGCAGCATTTCACATCCACCTTTTAAAATAAGAGAAAGTTGGGGTCTGGGCTACATTCTTAAAATATTTTGAGGGGGGGGGTCTGGTCTGGTCTATAACACGGTGGCTCAGTGGTTAGCACTGCTGCCTCACAGCGCCAGGGACCTGGGTTCAATTCCACCCTTGGGTGACTGTCAGTGTAGAGTTTGCACATTCTCCCCGTGTCTGTGTGGTTTTCCTCCTGGTGCTCTGGTTTCCTCCCACACTCCAAAGATGTGCAGGTTAGGGTGGATTGGCCATGCTAAATTGCCCGTGGTGTTCAGGGATGTGTATATCAGGTGCGTTATAGGATGGGTCTGGGTGGGATGTTCTGAGGGTCGGTGTGGACTTATTGGGCCGAAGGGCCTGTTTCCACACTGTAAGGATTCTATGACTGAACACAGTTCATAACAAATCCTCTTCCAGTACTAACAGGAGGAGACTGTATTGGTTTGCTGTGTGTGAATTAGCTGTGTTACAATGACAAGACTTTAAAAGTAACCAATTCATTGCAAAGCATCTTGGAACAACCTGATGTCATGATTAGGTGCTTATAAATGGAAGGCCTACTTTCATTGGTTCGGGAACTCCCTTTTACTTACAGAGAGGCCTGTACCAAAGCAATATAAACCACAGTGGCCGTACAGTATCACATCAGTGGCACTCACTGTTCCTGACTCTCCTGAGTGGCAGCCAGACATCTGCCTTTGCACGATGGCAGTGTCCTTTCCCAAGGAAGCAACGTAACAGGAGTTACGTGGTGCCAGCTTTTACCATACTGTACCAGATTCAGCGGGGAGTTGTTGCGAGAGGGAATGACTGACTGTAGCTAGCTGCATGTTCTGCATGCAGGTCGCAATCCTTATTGCAATGTCTGCATTTGGTCAGAGAAAACCCTATTGGATCTCAAAATTCTGTTGCCATATCGCAGGCTAAGAAGCCAGATGCTCGTGGGGTAAACTGTAACAAAGCCCACACTGTTTTTTGATGTTTTGTGGTAGAAATCTGGACTAACAACACCTACAGTTAGTGAAGCCATCCTTTGTATTAATGGATATGAGCCTGCATGTTGACGTCAATCAGTAAAACCTGAATCAAAAGTTGGTTAGCAAACTTCTGTACGGTTTTGATTTGGATAAATGCTGAGCATGATTTTCGCTCCAGTCAGGAGAGGTGCGAAGTGATGGCTGTGAGAGCGGTTAGGCAGAGTTGGGGGAGGTGTGGAAAGCCGGAGATGTTTCACTGTGCTTGTGTTCTGACCCCTTTTACAGATGTTGGTTAAGCAGAAGGAAGCGAACCGGCAGAGTGCGATCCTCCTGCAGCAGGTCGATCCGAGCATACAGCTGCTCAAAGCATTGGAGGAAGTTACCAGTGTCACCAAGACCCTGGAGGAGGAACGGCTCCAGCATCACAAAAAGGTCAGGCTTTGCGTTCCCCATGGGAATTCGCTGCTTTCTTCAGTGGGTCTGGCAAGCAGCAGGAATGTGGGCGAGGGGTCCGCTGTGATCTGCAGCGAAGGCAACTCAATCATCTTAAAGTAATATCAAAATTGGAGACCGGCTTCAGCAGCATGCTTCCCCCTTATTGGCACCTGGTGGTTAAATGTGAAGGTCGTGCCCAGTTTTCATCAATTGACATTGCAATGCGTGTTGAAATTTGTGGAGTTATTTGTATTCTCACTACCTAACTGGAATAGTCAACAGAGAGACATGGGCCACTTTAATGGGCAGGACAGTAAAGTTATCAGTCAGGGAGAGTCTGTGACCAGGCAGCAAGATCCCAAAGACAGAGATGTTATAACAACCAGGTCATCTGTCCTAGCAACGCTAGCTATAGGATGAGCATTGACCAAGAATCCAGGCCAAACTTCTATGCTTTTCTTTCACCTGGTGGCATAGGATTTTTTTTATACATACTATAACAGGGCTGACGGGGCTGAGGTGAAACATTTCATCTGAAAGATCACAACTCTGACAAATCTTCAAAGCACATTGGTAGGGACTGTCATCCTGCGACACCCCTTCCCTCACTTTATTGGTCCCTGCTCTGGGCAGTTCTGGTTTTAGCGGATGTAAGTTGAGGAGTTAACATGCAGCCAGTTCTCAGAAGCTGTGTCAGTCCCTGAAAGATATGAGGATGCCTGGGAAACCCAGTGTAGATGAAAGGAGTCAAACCAAAGAATTATACCGGACTCAAAACGTTAACTCTGTTTCTCTCTCCACAGACCTGCTGAGTTCATGCAACATTCTCTGTGTTTGTTTCAGACTTCCAACATTCACAATATTTAATTTCTGTTGGAGTAGAAACATTACCTGCCAGTCCCCAGCAAGAAAATATGTAACCCCACTCTGTCCTCGCTCTGTGTCATGATTGTCTAACCACCTGCCCCCCAGACTGACCCTGTGATCAGTCCAACTTGCCCCTCATGATCTGTATCATTCCTACCCCAGTGATTACTTTGACTCCTTCCTCCAGATAACTGACCCCCTGATGGTCTTTTACCCCTTTCCAATGATGGAGCTCCACTTGTGGCCTAGTTCCTCAGGCCAAGCCGCACGATGGTCAAGTTTCAATCTGTCTGGTTACAGCATGGCTTTTTAAAAAATTCACCCTAAAGGATCTAGTAGGTCAGCATTTATTGCTGTCTCAAATTACCCAAATGGCAGTTTCCTTCCCTAAAGGACATTAGTGAATCAGATGGGTTTTTCCAACAATCGACAATGGTTTCACGGTCATCATTAGAATTTTAATTCCAGATTTTTATTGAATTCAACTTCCATCATCTGCTGCGGTGAGATTCGAACCCGGGGGTCCAGAACATTACCTGGGTCTCTAGATTAACAGCCCAGTGATAATACCAATAGCCGTTGTCTCCAGTTGCTGGGGAACAACATTTTAAAGAAAACCTTTTTAAAAAATAACCTTTTTCAAACAAGAATCATGTTTGTGGAACTGCAGGAGATGGGTGAGATACTAAACAAGTACTATGCATCAGTGTTTACTGTGGAGAAGGATATGGAAGCTAAAGTGCTTGGGGAAATAAATAGTGATATTTGAAAAGTGTCCATATTACAGAAGAGGAATTGCTGGACATCCTAAAACGCATAAATGTGGATAAGTCCCTGGGACCTGATTAGGTGTGTCCCAGAACTTTGTGAGAAGGTAGGGAAGTGATTGCTGGGCCCCTTGCTGAGATATTTATATCATCGATAGCCACAGATGGGGTGCCGGAAGACTGGAGGTTGGCTAATGTGGTGCCACTATTTAAGAAATGCCAAGGAAAAGCCAGGAAACTATAGATCAGTGAGTGTGACGTCACTGGTGGGTAAGTTGTTTGATAGGATTTTGAGGGACACAATTTACATGTATTTGGAAAGGTAAGGATTGATTAGGGGTAGTCAACATGGCTTTGGGCGTAGGAAATCATGTCTCACTAACTTGATTGAGTTTTTTGAAGAAGTGACGTAGAAGATTGATGAAGGCAGAATGGTAGACATTGTCTATATGGACTTCAGCAAGGCATTCGACAAGGTTCCTCATGGGAGACTGGTTATCAGGGTTAGATCACATGGAATCCAGTGGGAGCTCACCAGCTGGATACAAAAGTGGCTTGAAGGTAGGAGACAGAGGGTGGTGGTAGAGGGTCGTTTTTCAGACTGGAGGCCTGTGACCAGCGGTGTGCCGCAAGGATTGGTGCTGGGTCCACTACTTTTTGTCATCTATATAAAATGATTTGAATGTGAATATAAGAGGTAAATTTGTAGATGACACCAAAATAGGAGGTGTAGTGGACAATGAAGAAGATTATCTCAGAGTATAACGGGATCTTGATCAGATGGCCCAATGGGCCGAGGAGTGGCAGATGCAATTTAATTTCGATACATGTGAGATTTTGCATTTTGGTAAAGCAAATCAGGGCAGATTTGGCAACCAGACATCCTAAATTAATCTAGTCCCATTTGCCAGCACTTGGCCCATATTCCTCTAAACTCTTCATATTCATCTATCCATCCAGATGCTTTTTAAATGTCGGAATTGTACCAGCCTCTACCAGCTCCTCTGTAGTTCATTCCATATATGTACCACCCTCTGCGTGAAAAAGTTATCCTTAGGCCCCTTTTAAATTTTTCCCCTCTCACCTTAAACCTATGTCCTGTAGTTTTGGATTTCCTACCCTGGAGAAAAAAACCTTGACTATTCACTCTATCCATGCCCTTCATAATTTTATAAACCTCTATAAGGTCACCCCTCAGCCTCCAATTCTTCAGGGGAAATAGCCCCAGGCTATCCAACCTCTCCCTAAGCTGAGACTCTTCAACTATGGCAACATCCTTGTAAATCTTTTCTGAACCCTTTCAGGTTCCACAACATCTTTCCTATAGCACAGAGACCAGAATTGAACATATTATTCCACAAGTGGCCTAACCAATGTGCAGTACAGCTGCAACATGACCTCACAACTCATATACTCAATGCACTGACCAATAAAGGCAAGCGTACCAAACGCCTTCTTCATTATCCTGTCTACCTGTGACTCCACTTTCAAGGGACTGTAAGCCTGCAGGTCTCTGCGGCAACACACCCCAGGACCTTACCATTATACCTTCCCCAGTTCAAAATTCTCCCACCCTGGGGAACATCCTTTCTAGACCACATCCTCTCGGGACCTTATTCATTTTAATTCACTCGCCTTGGACCCTTCTAAACTCTTGCCTTTCCTCCCAAGGCAATCACTCATTCCAGAATTCACATCTGGAATGCCTTTTTAGGGAAAGGAAATCTGACATCTTTACCCCAGTCCAGAAGTACACGTGACTCCCGACCCCACGCGATAGGGGCTGACTATGAACTGCCTTCTGAAATGGCGGGGCGGGGAGGGGTCCAGGGTTACGACAGGAAAATGGAGTTGAGAGTACAATCTGTTCAGCCATATTCCTTTCAAAATGGAACAGGTTCGAGAGGCTATCTTGTGCTCTTAATCCTTGTGTTCCCTGGGTTTACTCATGAGGGTAATTATGTAAACAAATTGGGAGTCAGCCTTGGATTGGTTTTAGAATTTTAAACATTGTTTTAGTACATTTTTATAGAATTCTTAAGGAAAGGGTTATTTCAAGTAAGCCAGCACAAGGGCCATAAGAGATACGGACACTCATCACTCTATTCTGAGATGCAGTGCATGCTGCTGTATCTTGAGACTTGAATACCAAGATGGATCTGATTTAAAAAGACATGGTTAGATTGCTTTAATCCGGTGGTTCACCATTATCTACCATCTGGCTCGAAGCTAGTGGTTTGTGTAGCACTCTGAACAAACTGATAATAATTTACAAGCCCTTCCCCCACAGATTCAGGAGCTCGAGTCCCATCTAAATGAATCAGCGCTGCAGAAGGAACTGGATACAGTGCAGAGACAACTGGAGATGGTTGAGGAGGAGAGACGGGAGTCTGAACAGCGAGTACAAGAGGTGGAACAGAGGAACTGTGAGCTGGAGGATCAAGGTGTGCACTGGATGGAAAGAAGGAAAGACCTTGCAGTCACAATCCACATTTCAATTACTCAGGAACACCTTGCAGACGAAGCAGTACTCTTCACTTAGAACCTAAAACAGTATAGCACAGGAACAGGCCCTTCGGCCCATGATTATAGATTAAACTTCGGCAAAATTAAACTAATCCCTTCTGCCTTCCCTTTGTCTATATCCCTCCGTTCCTTGCATATTCATGTGGTTATCTCAAAACTCCTTAAATGCCCCTGTTGTATCTGCCTCTGCCTCCACCACCCCTGGCAGTGCATTCCAGACTCCTATCACTCTTTGTGTAAAAAACTTGCCCCTCACATCTCCTTTGAACTTTCTCCCTCTCACCTTAAATGCATGCCTCCTACTGTTCGACGTTTCAACTCTGGGAAAAAGATTCTGGTTGTCAACCCCAGCACTTGTACTCAATGTAGGAAATGGGGCAGACACATTGTTTATGGTGCAACTCCTGGTTTAAGGAACTGGAAGTAACTGAGTTACCTTCCTGTTAGCAGAATATTTGCGCATTATTCACACTCAATGAAATATTAAAGATACAAGCTTAAACTTTCTGCTTGTGATGTTAACAGGGGATTCCAAAGCTCTTTAGAGTGGCTTCCTATCTTTCATCCTCTGTGAAATATGAGCTCATCCAAATCTCTACCCATCTGTCAAATCCCATTGCTCCTGTGTTCACTGACACCCATTGGCTCCCGGTCCTGCAGTGCTTTGATCTTAAAGTCTCTTCCTTATGTTCGATCGCTAAGAGTCTCTCCACCACCCACCACACCACGCACGCACACCCCCCCCAACACACACACACACACACACACACACACACACACACACACACTCACTCACTCACTCACACAGACAGACAGACACACAGACTCTCACACACACACACGCAGACACACACACACAGACACACACACACAGACACACACACACACAGACACACTCTCACAGACACACACACACAGACACACACACACACACACA